ATAGTGTATTATGTATATAATGTCAATATATTCTATTCTTTTTAACCGTTAACCATGCAGAATAATATTAATGGGTACATACATGTGCCCCATGTTATATCAATATTTGATATACTCCTATTTTCCAGGAATTTTATATAATTTGTTGTTCTTGGTTCATTGAACTCTATTACCGTACCCGGTATTGTTATAACAAATTAATAACGTGACTGTCATTTATAGATTAGAAAGGATAGTTTTAAAAATATCCATTTCATCATGTGTTTTTGGTTAATTTGATTTGTTTTAATCCTGTACTGGCTTAAATTGTGAGTCTCAAGACGTAATTAGATTCTCACGAAAAAAACAAAACTGATAATTTTTACTGCCATTAAACAAATAATTTCAGACATGAAGTTATAATTTTTGTAATTTAGCAGTAAACACACAAAAAATTAAATCAGCTGTTGTTACATGTGCAAAATACAAAGATATTTATTTGCACTCGTCTGCAAACAAAGACTTTCAAAGTAAAAATCCTTTTGCGAATGGCTGACTAGCCAGACAGAGACGTGTTTGGCATTGGTAATTACATTATATTTATTCTGAGTATAGTGTTTCACCAACAACTTAGCTGGTCAGTTGCTGTCAGTGCCTCGTTTGCCACTGAATTTTACAGACAGTAGAACTAAATTATTAATGCTCTTGGCGATGTTCCATGCATTGCTGGTCTGTATTTTGCATTTTCTTTATATCTAAGATACTTACCAAGTATTTTTTCAAATAAAAGAAAAACATGCAAGTTTCCTAAAAATTGTGCTTTATAAATATTCAGGGTTCGAAATAACAACTTTTTTGGAAGTATGCTGGGCTACCAGTTTTAAGAGTTGGTAATGCCATAGTAATATTGGGTAGTTCATCAGGTTTAGTAGGTACTTACACCCATGCAAAAAGTGTACATAGAAATAAATTAATGTCATTTGGCTTAATTTGTGTGGAACCCCCATAATTTGGGGACAAATTGATGTGTTTAGAAAATGAAACATTAATATTTTGTAAATTTCTAGTAGTCCAGGTAGGGTACTAATTCCGAAAATGGAAGCCCTAGGTCAAGATTTAAGTAGTCTGTGTGCCTTGGGCTTTTGTTAATTTCCAGCCCAATCTGGGAGGGGTCATTGTATCATGAGCCCAGGGACTGAATCATTGACACTTACACTATCCTGTAAATAATGTTTAATGTAGTGCATTATACCTTCCCAATAGAACATGTCTGAATATAGTGGTTCACATGTGATGGTTGGCTGCATACAAACCATCATTGCAAAGTCATCCCAGCCCATACATATTTAGTATATTACTCCACCAATGTTTAAAAACATAATACGTATTTGAACATCATACTGTCTGAGGGTGTTTGATGTATAATTACTATTTTATTTTCCATTATTTGGCATTGCTGTTAAAATTATCTTTGAAGGTCACGTTGTATTTTACATTGTCCTTGAATGATTAATGTTCAGGTGTTGAAACCGATAACTCTCTCGTTAGTTGGCTGCTTTGTCCATTTTCAGCTACATGTACCCCATTGTTACCTTTATGGCTTTAATTTATTTTGGGTTTCCAGTTTGTTTAACATACACGTATTACCACGGTGTCTCATAGCTAGCTTGGTGTAAAGTATCATTGATGATGTCGTAGGTTATCTGAAGGAATTGACTTTGGCATGTTGCAATAAAAAAAAAAATGGCATAATTGCCATTCAGATATGCTATGTGTCGTTACTATTTGTTTTGGGGTTTTAGGGGTCATCAGAGCATGTATGCAATGAGCATTCATCTTTGTAATTTATCTGAAGCATAGCACTATTTATATGTTAATAGAATAGTAGTTGGTAGTGGAATTGCGTGCCAACTCCATTTCAATAAAAATAAATTACGATAACTCAATGTTGAGCATGT